CGGGAGGTCGTGCTGGCTCTCCGGACCGCGCCAGCTGCCCCATCAGTCCGGGCGCGCTTGAATTTCTTTCCCAATTTTTCTCTTTTAAGTACAATACAAGGGAGAGGAGATTCGTGGATTTTTCATTTAAAAATCCTTCTTTAACCGCGGGGCAATTCGCTCCCAGCCGGGAAGTGCGGCCCGGGGAGGGGCCAGGAGCGGGAACGTGCCCGGTGCTGCCCAGTCTTTGTCTGCTGCCTCCGGATGCACAGCGATGGGGGAATGGACCATCTTGGAGAGGCTGCTGGAAGCCGCGGTGCAGCAGCACTCCACTATGATCGGGAGGTAAGGGCGCGGAGCCGGCCGTCGGGCGGCCCCCGGGAGTCCCTTCTCACGTCCCGACCGAGCCCCAACAGCCCCCGGCCCATCCCCTGCCCCTTCCCATCGACCTCAGCTCCTGCGCCTGTGCCCTCGGCACTGAGGGATTACCCGATGCCCAGCGATGCCCCCCTCCTTCAGCTGCTCCTGCTCAGCGCCCCCATCCCCTCCCTATGATGCACCACCGGGGGTTCACTCTTCTCCCAACGGAAAAGGAGTTGTTGGCTCAGTCACGGTCCCCCCACTCTCCGAGTCAGAGCCAATCTCCATCTGGTTCCCTAAATAGAATCTACAAGGAAGGCAGGATTGTATTTGGACAGAGAAGGGCAAATGGGAAGATGGATTTGCGCTTCAGAGCAGATGTATCTTTCCCTCACAAATTTTGATTATGCTGAACTGATCTGGCTCTTAAAACTTAGTGTCAGAAATCCACAGACCCAATTTTGTGTATGTAACATACATGCATGTATATAATTACATAGATATTCATAGCTATCTGTTTACGTAATGCATTAAGTTCAGTGTTCAAACTGGAGATACACGTCCAGTTGGAGTAGTTACATACACACTCTGTGTAGACTTTGAAATGTATTCTGTCAGCCAGTCCGTGTGCATTTGCCATATCCAGAAGGCAGGTGTATTTTGTGCCCCTGTGCGTTTCATAGACACAGATGAAATCTATCTGTTGCAAATGTACCATGTCCGGTGTATGCAGACATATACATGTCTGAGATCTCTGTAATATGAAGTGCTCCCCGCGCCCAGCAGGAAGGGAAGAGACAGGTTTCCTAAGATCGCCAGTTCAGTTTCCTAAGATCCCCAGTTCAGCACCACGCAGGGACGGACAGCTCCCCAGTGGAAGGACCGGCCTGAAGACCAGGGCAGGGGAGGGCGGAGCAGGGGTTTCCTAAGCCGGTGGCTCAGCCGTGAGGACCTCTCTCCCTCCCTCCCCCCTGCTCAGGATCCTGTTGACTGTGGTGGTGATCTTCCGGATCCTCATCGTGGCCATCGTGGGGGAGACGGTGTACGACGACGAGCAGACCATGTTTGTGTGCAACACCCTGCAGCCCGGCTGTAACCAGGCCTGCTACGACCGCGCCTTCCCCATCTCCCACATCCGCTACTGGGTCTTCCAGATCATAATGGTGTGTACCCCCAGCCTCTGCTTCATCACCTACTCTGTGCACCAGTCTGCCAAGCAGCGAGAACGCCGCTACTCTACTGTCTTCCTAGCCCTGGATAGAGACCCCCCTGAGTCCATGGGCGGTCCTGGAGGAACTGGGGGCGGGGCCGGTGGGGGTGGAAAGCGAGAAGATAAGAAGATGCAGAACGCCATAGTCAATGGGGTGCTCCAGAACACAGAGAACACCAGCAAGGAGACGGAGCCAGATTGTTTAGAGGTTAAGGAGCTGACCCCACATCCATCGGGGCTGCGCACTGCAGCGAGATCCAAGCTCCGGAGGCAGGAAGGCATCTCCCGCTTCTACATCATCCAGGTGGTGTTCCGGAACGCCCTGGAGATTGGGTTCCTGGTGGGCCAATACTTCCTCTACGGCTTCAGCGTCCCAGGGTTGTATGAGTGTGACCGTTACCCTTGCATCAAAGAGGTGGAGTGCTATGTGTCCAGGCCCACTGAGAAGACCGTCTTCCTAGTGTTCATGTTTGCTGTGAGCGGCATCTGTGTGGTGCTCAACCTGGCTGAACTCAACCACTTGGGATGGCGCAAGATCAAGCTGGCCGTGCGAGGGGCCCAGGCCAAGAGAAAGTCAGTCTATGAGATCCGCAACAAGGACCTGCCCCGGGTCAGTGTTCCCAACTTTGGCAGGACTCAGTCCAGTGACTCTGCCTATGTGTGAAGGGGCAAGTTTTGGAAAGGCTCAGGGGATGACAGGTAGCCCTGAGGCAGATGACTGCTTGAGAGTGGCTATATCTGCCCTCATTTATTTGACTCTTGCCATTGAGATAAAGGAAAAGTCTGGTTAAGTGAGGATCTTGCATCAATGGGAGAGGAGAGAAAGTGGAATCATTACTACATGTCACACCACTGGTTCCACAGAGACAATTGGGTAGAGTGGTGAGATGGATGAGTTGGACTTTTTGGGGACCTTTTATTTCATGGCCTGGTCTGATCTTGATAACAGTGGATTTGCACAGCTACCAAGTAAGACTTAGCTTGGCTAAGCTCTGTGTCCTGGTGAATGGTGTGAGTCAAATACTTCAATGGTACAAAAATTGTGACTTATCTCAACACCCCTTCATCCTGGGCTGCAAGACAAACACCCTTGAGGCATTCTTCATGTATCTCCCCCATCAGCATGGCCCTTTCCCTCAACCCAGGATAGCATGCCAGCTTTTTTTTCTGAATCTGGCTTTGCAGTAGACCTAATATGGTTTATCTGCAAGCTAGAGGGAACTACTTAGGGTGCTTTTTGGAGAACAGTCATGGCAAAGGTTTGCATTAGAGCCCCATCTGACTAGCCCTTAGTCATTATGAAAAACCTTAGGAATGTCTCAATATTTTCAATTTTCTAACTCAAACTGCACTGGTGCTGTTTATT